AGATGGGGATATATAGCAGCATTTACTCACTGCTGTCATAATCAGGGCTTTAGTAATGTGATCCCCGCACCCCATCATATCACAAACATTAAAATGCTTGAGAAACCATTTGTAAGAAAGATTGAATAAAAGAGAATGAACAAGGGCTGCGAAAATGCTATTCATAAAGACATTAAACACGGGATATGATGCTGAATGCTCCTGTTTCCAAATAAAGTGACTTTAAGTAAACACTATCGGGTGCAAAGTGATGATGAGTAGCCATCAGTCTGAACAAAGTACTCTTACGTTACACACCAAATTGAATGGGAGAAATATAAGCATTTCAAATTAATAGTGTTCATAGCTAAATTATGCACCTTCCCACATAAAGGGAAGAATAATTGAGTTGAGTGGTTCTTTCCAGTTATTTTACTATAGAAGAGGTGGCCACTCGTGGCACAACGGGTTAAACCGATGAGCTGCTGAACTTGCTGGCCGAAAGGTAGGGGGTTCAAATCTGGGGAGTGGGGTGTACTCCCACTGTTAGCCCCAGTTTTTGGCAACCTAGCAGTTTGAAAACATGCAAATGTGAGTAGATCAATAGGTACTGCTTCTGCTGGAAGGTAATGGTGCTCCACGCAGTCATACTGGCCACATGACCTTGGATGTGTCTATGGACAATGCTGGCTCTTCAGCTTAGAAATAGAGATGAGCACCCCCTACCTAAGTCAGATACAACTAGACTTAATGTCAAGGGAAACCTTTACCTTACTATAGGAGTGCAGGGCAACTCTTCCATTGGACTCATTTCTGTGTGGATATGCATAAGATTACACTGTTAAATAGCCATTATCTCTGTTCCAAGGGGCCCTTTCACAGTACAGTATAGTCTATGAATCCATGGCTGAAGATGTCATCTGGGTTTTGTGTGGATATGCGAAGCTGTGGACAATAGTGAACTCTAATGAAATGAAGACTTCCCAGATCAAGAAAGCTACAGAGCAACCATGGGCCAAGGTTGGCCCTCCAGGTGTTTTAGACTTCAACTCCCACAATTCCTAACAGCCTACCGGCTGTTAGGAACAGCCTACCGGTTGTTAGGAATTGTGGGAGTTGAAATTCAAAACACCTGGAGGGGTGAAGTTGGCCCAGCCTGCTATAGAGCCACAGTGGAGGATCTAGACCAGTGGTTCCCAACATTTGGTCTTCCAGGTGTTTTGTACTTCAACTCCCAGAAATCCGAGACATTTGACCAGCTGTTAGGTATTGTGGAAGCTGAAGTCCAAAACACCTGGAGGACCAAAGGCTGGGAACCACTGGTCTAGGGTTAGACAATGTCTAAAGAGGACACATTTTGTCTGACACAGATACAAGACGCCGTGGGTACTGAACCATGGATACAGGGTTCATATAATTATAATACTTTGTTACCATATAAACTAACAGGGTTCACTCTATAAAACCCCAAGATTTGTAGTTTAGATAAGAGGCATTTAGACAGAAATCACATGTTCTCAGACAGAGATCTCCATTGTATCACCAAACTATGAACTCCAGGTTTCCATATGATGGAAGAATCATGCCAACGAAAGTAGAATAATAGCGCTATAACTCTGTAGTGCAAATTGGCGCATTGTAAGTATAATAAAGTAAAGCCTTTGACTGTGTGGATCATAATAAATTGTGGCAAGTTCTTGGTGGGATGGGCATCCCAAGCCACCTTGTCTCTCTCCTGAGGAATCTGTACAAGGACCAAGTAGCAACAGTCAGAACTGACCACGGAACAACAGACTGGTTCAAGATTGGGAAAGGCATACGGCAAGGCTGCATACTCTCACCCAACCTTTTTAACGTGTATGCAGAACACATCATGCAATGTGCGGGGCTTGATGAATGCAAAGATGGGGTGAAAATTGCTGGAAGAAACATTAACAACCTCAGATATGCAGATGACACCACTCTGATGGCCGAAAGCGAGGAGGAGCTGAGGAGCCTTCTAATCAAGGTGAAAGAAGAAAGCGCAAAAGCTGGGTTGCAGTTAAACATAAAAAAACCAAGATTATGGCAACAAGAATGATTGACAACTGGGAAATAGAGGGAGAAAACGTGGAGGCAGTGACAGACTTTGTATTTCTAGGTGCAAAGATTACTGCAGATGCAGACTGTGGCCAGGAAATCAGAAGACGCTTACTTCTTGGGAGGAGAGCAATGTCCAGTCTCGATAAAATAGTAAAGAGTACAGACATCAGACTGGCAACAAAGATCCGCCTAGTCAAAGCCATGGTATTCCCTGTAGTAACCTACGGATGTGAGAGCTGGACCTTAGGGAAGGCTGAGCGAAGGAAGATAGATGCTTTTGGAACTGTGGTGTTGGAGGAAAGTTCTGAGAGTGCCTTGGACTGCGAGAAGATCCAACCAGTCCATCCTCCAGGAAATAAAGCCCGACTGCTCATTGGAGGGAAGGATACTAGAGACAAAGTGGAAGTACTTTGGCCACATCATGAGGAGACAGGAAAGCCTAGAGAAGACAATTATGCTGGGGAAAGTGGAAGGCAAAAGGAAGAGGGGCCGACCAAGGGCAAGATGGATGGATGGCATCCTTGAAGTGACTGGACTGACCTTGAAGGAGCTGGGGGTGGTGGCCGACAGGGAGCTCTGGCGTGGGCTGGTCCATGAGGTCACGAAGAGTCGGAGCAACTGAACGAATACAACAACATAGACTACGAAGAGATAATAAAAATAATAATAATAATAATAATAATAAGATAATATACAAATACCATCTGCCTGCGACAAAGAACTGGTGGGATCACAAGGGAAAAAGTTACAGAGAATGAACATGTCAAGATACTCTGGGACTTCCGATTCAGACAGACAGAGTTTTGGAGCACAATACTCCTGACCAATCGTGTTAAAAAACAAAGTATGGATCATTGATGTTGCAATCCCAGGCAACAGCAGGATTGAAGAGAAATGACTGGAAAAGCTGACACGATATGAGGATTTAAAGAGCAAACTGCAAAGACTCTGGCACAAGCCAGTCAAGGTGGTCCCAGTGGTGATCAACAACTGGATGCAGTGCCTAAAGACCTTGGCCTGCATTTAAACACAATGCTGACAAAATTACCATCTGCCAGCTGCAGAAGGCCACCTTACTGGGATCTGATGCATTATTTGCCGATACATCACACAGTCCTAGACACTTGGGAAGTGTCCGACGTGTGATCCGACGTGTGGACTCATCTTGTTGTATTTCAAATAATAATAATAATAATAATAATAATAATAATAATAATAATAATTGTCCACCTCTCCTCACAGCTCACGGCAGGGTACAGCATTACTAAAACATAAACAAACACACATATACACACAGAATCATTTTAAAACACTCCGTATTTATTTATCGTGTCATCAGCAACCATACCATTGTATTACATTTCTAACAGAACAAAACAAAAAAACACAGATTTTGCAAAGCTTGGTAGTTGATTAAATGTCCTTTGACCAGTATCTGGCCACTTGGAGTGCCTCTGGTGTTGCCGCAAGAAGGTCCTCCATTGTGCATGTGGCAGGGCTCAGGGTGCATTGCAGCAGGTGGTCAGTGGTTTGCTCTTCTCCACACTCGCATGTCGTGGATTCCACTTTGTAGCCCAATTTCTTAAGATTGGCTCTGCATCTCGTGGTGCCAGAGCGCAGTCTGTTTAGCGCCTTCCAAGTCGCCCAGTTTTCTGTGTGCCCAGGGGGGTCTCTCATCTGGTATCAACCATGGATTGAGGTGCTGGGTTTGGGCCTGCCACTTTTGGACTCTTGCTTGCTGAGGTGTTCCAGCGAGTGTTTCTGTAGATCTAAGAAAACTATGTTTTAATTTAAGTCGTTGACGTGCTGGCTGATACCCAAACAGGGGATGAGCTGGAGATGTCTCTGCCTTGGTCCTTTCACTATTGGCTGCTACTTCCCGGCGGATGTCAGGTGGTAAGCAGTGTAATTTCTCCAGTGGTATAGGGCACAGACACCCCGTGATAATGCAGCATGTCTCATTAAGAGCCACATCTACTGTTTTAGTGTGGTGAGATGTGTTCCACACTGGGCATGCATACTCAGCAGCAGAGTAGCATAGCGCAAGGGCAGATGTCTTCACTGTGTCTAGTTGTGATCCCCAGGTTGTGCCAGTCAGCTTTCGTATGATATTGTTTCTAGCACCCACTTTTTGCTTGATGTTCAGGCAGTGCTTCTTGTAGGTCAGAGCACGGTCCAGAGTGACTCCCAGGTATTTGGGTGCGCTGCAATGCTCCAGTGGGATTCCTTCCCAGGTAATCCTCAGAGCTCGGGATGCTTCTCTGTTCTTAAGGTGAAAGGCGCATGTCTGTGTTTTAGATGCATTAGGGATCAGTTGGTTTTCCCTGGAATAGGCAGTTAGAGCACCTAGAGCTTCGGAGAGCTTCTGTTCAACCATCTCAAAGCTCCCTGCTTGAGCGGTAATGGGAGAACACTGAGAACTGGGAAGCCCTGGCTTGTGAGCGCTCCAGCTGGAGGTCAGCTATGACAAGCAGTGCTGTAGAATTTGAAGAGGCATGAATGGAGGGTGAAAGAGAGAAACTGTGCCAAGAGGAAGGCGCGTCAAGCCAACCCCGACCGGGGCCGCCTTCCACCTGGAAACCAATGCCCTCACTGCGGGAGAAGCTGCAGATCAAGAATAGGGCTCCACAGTCACTTACAGACTCACCCTGCTCGGACAACGAGGGATCACCTAAGTAAGTAAGACAAGCCACATATGCACATGGCCAAGGCAATGCATGGAGTAAAGCGTGCATACAATCCATCCACCAGAAATTAAGAGGGTCACTCCACCTAAGGTGAAGCATTTCGGGTTTCCCCATATAACATAAGAGCCTCGTAGGAGAAATGAGGCGCTTGCAAAAAGGACACACTGAAGACTCCTCCTTCAGCTACCAAGAGGTTAAAAACAGAGCTCTGTGCAGGCATGATGGGAACTTTAGCAAAGAGCATCCTGGGAGTTGTAGTTTAAGCCCAGCCTTCCGCCTTTTAGCATGGCTTCTTCCTGGGAGGTAAGTTCCCTTTATTTCCTGTGAGCACCGTGCTTTGCAACAGTTTCAGCCGGAGAGGAAGCAAAGGGAAACTTCACCTTGGGGAAGGTTTCCCTTTTGCCTTCCTTTCCCTCCCTCTGGAAATCGAAATATTGTCAGAGTTTGGAGGATTTGAAACTGAAGGTTTTCTGCCTGGATTGGACAGTTGCTCCAGTCCTTTCGGATTTGCAAAGATAACAGTGTCTAAAAAGAAGCCAGACTCATCATGTCCTAGGATTGGTTAATATGATGCAGGTTGAGCATCCCACATCCAGAAATCCACATTGGTGACTGAGATATGACACCTTTGCTTTGTGATGGTTCTGGGCCCTTCCACACAGCCCTAGATCTCAGAACATCAAGGCAGAAAACCCCACATTATCAGATCACTGGGATATCAGAGTTCACACATCCATATATTCCAGTTCAAAGCAGATAATGTGGGATTTTCTGCCTTGATGTTCTGGGATCTAGGGCTGGGTGGAAGGACCCCCAGTTTCGTGCATAAAATGGTTGGGAATCTGGGTTGCTATGACTTTTCCGGGCTGTATGGTCATGTTCCAGAAGCATTCTCTCCTGACGTTTCACCCCGCCATTCTCCCGTTGGGTTCTCTGGCAAGATTAGGCAAGCCCCCACCCTTTAGCAGCCTTTAAGAAAGATCTGAAAACTTGGCTCTTCCGATGATGATGATGATGATGATGATGATGATGATAATAATAATATAAGAGTAGCAATCATAAGTGGACATAGTCTGCCATCTACTGGTGGACAGGATATATTTAATGTTTTCTCAGTGTGGCAAGATGCAGAGTTTGGGAAATAAAATCCAAAATCCACAAAAGAGGGATATTTGTCGTGGGCAACCAAAATGCACCATAAAATCTTTCAAAACTACACTGGCTTCTTCATCAGGCAAAAAAATTCCTAAAAGGAGACGCTTTAAAAAAGTGGTGGTATTGGATTACAGGCTTACTTTTTGTATCTGATATTTTCTTTGTTATAATTCAGCTGGTTCAGAAGGATCTCAATGTAGACAGAGACTACTCTTGTCTTGGTCACATCCAGACCAAGATAAAGGATATTACAGTTTCAGCTTCATTATATCTGGGAACACATCCACCACAGATATGGGATAATGCACTATGTTTACCAGAGAAGCCTTACATATTTACAAATTAGTAATGTTTCATGATAATTGGGTTTGACATAAGAAAAATTTTATAATCACAGAATCATAGAGTTGGAAGAGACCTCGTGGGCCATCCAGTCCAACCCCCTGCCAAGAAGCAGGAGAATCACATTCAAAGCACCCCTGACAGATAGCCATCCAGCCTCCGCTTAAAAGCCTCCCAAGAAGGAGCTTCCACCACACTCTGGGGCAGAGAGTTTCACTGCTGAACAGCTCTAATAGTCAGGAAGACCTCACTATCTCTGAGGATGCTTGCCATAGATGCAGGCAAAACATCAAGAGAGAATGCCTCTAGAACATGGCCATATAGCCCATAAAAACCTACAACAACCCAGTGATTCCAGCCATGAAAGCCTTTGACAGTACAGTTCTTCCACATGTTCAGGTGGAATCTCCTTTCCTGTAGTTTCAAGCCATTGTTCTGCATCCTAGTCTCCAGGGCAGCAGAAAACAAACTTGCTCCCTCCTTCCTTGGTTTCCCCTCACATGGTCCTCCTCAGGTCTCCTCTCAGCCTTCTCTTCTGCAGGCTAAACATGCCCAGCTCTTTTAACCACTCCTCATAGGGCTTGTTCTCCAAACCCTTGATCATTTTAGTCATCCTCAAGCTTGTCAACATCTCCCTTAAATATATCTGCTTTGTTTTCCCAAAGAGTTTTGAACCAGATATGCTCTTCTGGTGACAGCTTCTCTGTAGACCTTTTCACCATGGAAATAGGTGGCATCAATCAACAGAGTCAGAAACTGAGTAAAACGGAGAAGAAGCTGCGGCAAAAACAGATGAAAGCCAGACATACTCTGCTAAGACATGAGGGCATTGAATGCGTGTCATATCCCACCAAGGTGAGTTGTGTTGTTGGCAGCTTATCTTTTGCATGATGATCTTGAGCAAATGTATCAAGAGGCATGTTCCACTAAATTCAATGCACCCTCCGCTGGCAGATGGATATATGGTTGCAGCCTTGCTTCCAAAATGTTGCAGTGTGTGGTGCTATTGTTCAATCATTTTTCACTATATTACATACCGTTGCCCATCACCTCTCCTTTGCTCCCAGGTTTCTGTATTTTACTCCTTTAGATGTTAGCATTCTATGGTCACTCGGCATACCGAGTTCTTTTTCAGACAGTTCTAGAAATATATTCATATCCCTTTGGTTTTGTTTCCCCTAATCATAATGATTCTTCCTTTATTGTTAGTGTACATCCATTTTACCCACACTTTTGAATGAGTTTGGTATATAGAATGCAGTCTTATTTATGGGTTGCTGTGAGTTTTCTGGGCTGTATACCCATGTTCCAGAAGCATTCTCTCCTGATGTTTTGCTCACATCTATGGGAGGCATCCTCAGAGGTTGTGAGGTCCGTTGGAAACTAGGCAAGTGAGGTTTATATATCTGTGGAATGTCCAGGGTGGGGGAAAGAACTCTTGTCTGAGGCAGGTGTAAATGTTGCAATTGGCCACATTGATTAGCATTGAATGGTTTTGCAGCTTCAAAGCCTGGCTGCTTCCTGCCCGGGGGAATCCTTTGTTGGGAGATGTTAGCTAGTCCTGATTGATTCTTGTCTGGATTCCCCCTGTTTTTTGTGTGCTGTTCTTTGTTTACTTTCCTGATTCTAGAGTTTTTTAAAAATACTGGTAGCCAGATTTTGTTCATTTTCATGGTTTCCTCCTTTCTGTTGAAATTGTTCACATGCTTGTGGATTTCAATGGCTTCTCTGTGTAGTAGAATGACATAGAATCATAGAATAGAATCATAGAATCAAAGAGTTGGAAGAGACCTCATGGGCCATCCAGTCCAACCCCCTGCCAAGAAGCAGGAATATTGCATTCAAATCACCCCTGACAAATGGCCATCCAGCCTCTGCTTAAAAGCTTCCAAAGAAGGAGCCTCCACCACACTCCGGGGCAGAGAGTTCCACTGCTGAACGGCTCTCACAGTCAGGAAGTTCTTCCTAATGTTCAAATGGAATCTCCTCTCTTGTAGTTTGACGCCATTGTTCCGCGTCCTAGTCTCCAAGGAAGCAGAAAACAAGCTTGCTCCCTCCTCCCTGTGGCTTCCTCTCACATATTTATACATGGCTATCATATCTCCTCTCAGCCTTCTCTTCTTCAGGCTAAACATGCCCAGTTCCCTAAGCCGCTCCTCATAGGGCTTGTTCTCCAGACCCTTGATCATTTTAGTCGCCCTCCTCTGGACACATTCCAGCTTGGTGGTTATTAGAGTGGTCCAGCATTTCAGTGTTCTCAAATAATATGCCATGTCCAGGTTGGTTCATCAGGTGCACTGCTATGGCTGACTTTATCAGAATGCATCAGAACACAGCATATTATTTGAGAACACAGAAATGCTGGACCACTCTAACAACCACCATATCAGATTACACAGAGAAGCCATTGAAATCCACAAGCATGTGGACAATTTCAGCAGATAGGAGGAAACTATGGAAATGAACAAAATTTGGTTACCAGTATTAAAAAAATTCCAAAATCAGGATAGTAAGTAAAGAACAACACTCAGAAAATGGGAATTCCAAACAGAAAAAAATCAGTCAAGAGAGAATTCTTCTGGAACATGGTCATAAAGCCCGAAAAACTCACAGCAACCCAGTGAATCTGGCCATGAATGCCTTCAACTACACAATTTTATTTATGTTGCATTCTCACTTCTCTATGGACTGATGGGAAGTTTATATTTGAACTGTGACTGTGGACATTTACTTATTTTATTTATATGCCAGCTTTCTCCCAAAGTGGAACTGGATCTGTTTCTTTAATTGATAAGCCCTGGATTGGTATATATTAATTCACTAAAAATATCTTTACTCTGCTCTTCAGCCTTTTTTGCATCAGGTGTTTAAGCAGAGAGTCAGAACTGAAGGCCTTTGCTGTCTCAAAATAAGTGCACTTCAGGTAGAAAGGATTTATTTTACAGGTACAGGTACAGACAATGACAGCAAATTATTGTTGAATTGCAAAACTTCTGAAAAGTTGCAAAATTTGTAGGCTGTATATCCGCACATTTTTATGCAGCATCCCCTTTTGTCCAAAGGCCCTATTGGTCACACTCTCCTCAATCTTTTCCTGATTCATCAAGCAGTCGAAACATTGCCTCATTCACACAGGTCCACTTTTCTCCTGAGAAGAGCCTTGGATAATGCATCGTTCTCAAAACAGATCTTCAGCTCATCCAGTCCATAATCAGCAGGTCTAATTAATAGCATGGGTGGTATCAGTCTATGACTGACAGCTTCTAGAACAGGCATGGGCAAACTTTGACCCTCCAGGTATTTTGGACTTCAACACTGACAATTCCTAACATCTGGAAGTCCAAAACACCTGGAGGGCTGAAGTTTGCCCTTTCCTGTTCTAGAATATACTCAGATTTTCATTAACAGTTATGTTAAAAGCACATAACAATACAATGAATTGTGAATAACATTACACTCTATAGCAAACTTATTGTATAACCAGTATTAAGTATGAATATGATATAACAGCATGAACAGCTAAAACATGGCAAATTCCAAGCACAGGAACTAGATCAGTGGTTCTCAACCTGTGGGTCCCCAGATGTTTTGGCCTTTAACTCCCAGAAATCCTAACAGCTGGTAAACTGGCTGGGATTTCTTGGAGTTGTAGGCCAAAACACCTAGGGGCCCACAGGTTGAGAACCACTGAACTAGATGGTTATTTATCAGGAATCCTGTAGTTGGATCCTTCCTTATAGATGTGAGTATAAAGGTGGTACACTGGATTAAACCACTGAGCTTGTTGACCGAAAGGTCACAGGTTTGAATCCAGGGAGCGGCGTGAGCTTCCGCTGTCAGCCCCAGCTTCTGCCAACCTAGCAGTTTGAAAACATGTAAATGTGAGTAGATCAATAGATACCACTCTGGTGGGAAGATAACGGTGCTCCATGCAGTCATGCCAGCCACATGACATTTGAGGTGTCTATGGACAATGCCGGCTCTTCGGCTTAGAAATGGAGATGAGCACCAACCCCCAGAGTCGGACATGACTGGGCTTAATGGCAGGGGAAAACATTTACCTTTACTATAAATCTAGTTGGTCTCCACAATCCCTTCCAACTCTTCTTGTACTTCAGCAAAAGTCCCATACATGTCAAAAAGATGCACAAATAAAAGTCAGCTCTCCCTATGTTTTGAAGGCAATTTTTCCTGCTTCTTGGCAGGTGGTTGGACTTGATGGCCCACAAGGACTCTTCCAACTCTATGATTCTATGACTCTATGATTCTATATGTCTTTCATTATAATGTGCCAAGGCTGCTTGATATCTAAACATTTTCATTCAGGCCCCTTCCACGCAGCTGAATAAAACCCCACATTTTCTGCTTTGAACTGGGATATATGGCAGTGTGGACTCAGTTAACCCTGCTCAAAGCAGATATTGTGGAATTTTCTGTCTTGATATTCTGGGTTGTATGGCTGTGTGGAAGGGCCCTCAGAGTTTCAAGCACAATTGCCTATGCTGACGTTCATGGATAATAACTTCATTGTCTCTTTATTTCTCTGCTGTGTTTATGCAGTTTTCAGATTAACCAATTAATGCTGATTATTCATGTCTGTGTCTCTTTTCCCTTCCCTTCTTTTCCCTCTTGCCTTAATTAGAGCCTGGTCATTGCCAATGGCGGTCTGGGGAATGGGGTGAGCAGGCGCCAAGTGCTCAAACTGGCAGAGAGATGCGGGCTGGTCGAAGCGCTTTTAATGCCACCAAATAAACCCTATTCATTCGTGAAATACAGGACGCTTGAAGATTCCAAGCGCGCCTATGATTCACTCAATGGAGAAGAGGTTGCTTCAGAGGACTGCACTCAAAATGTTGTTCTATATTTCAACTTTGTGGAAAAAGGTATTCCTGTTTTATTGGTTTTCGCCCCCAAAGAAATAGTTAAAGCTTAGGAAATGGTGTTACCATTTCTTTCTCCTGGGCTTGCCAAAGAGGTGTTGATGCCTGAACCAAATAACAAAATGGTACCCTTTTGTTGATTTGTGTATAGAAGCTGACAGGACTTGTAGTTGTATATTTATTTATTTATTGAGTCATCAGCAACCAGTCAATTATATTACACTTCTAACAGAACAAAGCAAACAAACAGACAAAATACAAAAATACAGAATACAGAATACAAAATTTGTGAGTTTGGTAGTTGATTAAATGTCCTTTGACCAGTATCTGGCCACTTGGAGTGCTTCTGGTGTTGCTGCAAGAAGGTCCTCCATTGTGCATGTGGCAGGGCTCAGGTTGCATTGCAGCAGGTGGTCAGTGGTTTGCTCCTCTCCACACTCACATGTCGAGAATTCCACTTTGTAGCCCCATTTCTGAAGGTTGGCTCTGCATCTCGTGGTGCCAGAGCGCAGTCTGTTCAGCCTTCCAAGTCGCCCAGTCCTCTGTGTGCCCAGGGGGGAGTCTCTCATTTGGTATCAGCCATTGATTGAGGTTCTGGGTTTGAGCCTGCCACTTTTGGACTCTTGCTTGCTGAGGTGTTCCAGCGAGTGTCTCTGTAGATCTTAGAAAACTATTTCTAGATTTAAGTAGTTGACATGCTGGCTGATACCCAAATGGGGGATGAGCTGGAGATATCTCTGCCTTGGTCCTTTCACTATTGGCTGCTACTTCCCGGCAGATGTCAGGTGGTGCAATACCGGCTAAGCAGTGTAATTTCTCCAGTGGTGTAGGGCGCAGACACCGTGATAATGCGGCATGTCTCATTAAGAGCCACATCCACTGTTTTAGTGTGGTGAGATGTGTTCCACACTGGGCATGCTTATTCGGCAGCAGAGTAGCACAGCGCAAGGGCAGATGTCTTCACTGTATCTAGTTGTGATCCCCAGGTTGTACCAGTCAGCTTTCATATGTAGTTGTATAGTAATTATTAGATACTCTCTATAATCACCAACACATCCAAGATTTCAGGGTCCCAGGACAGTTCACATTGCAGAAATTAACATCTGAGAAGGAACTTTTTCCAAGCCAGACTTCTTTGGTCTACAGAAAAGAAGCACATCAATCCTTTTGCTGATGGAGTCTGGCATCTCCTTACAACAAGTAGTATAAAAATCCCCTAAACCAGTGGGAGTTGAAGACCAAACATCTGGTGATCCACAGGTTGAGAACCACTGGCCAAAGCCAGCATTTTGAATTGGGCCCGGTAGCAAAATGGCAGCCAGTGGAGCTGACGCAATAGCATAGTTCTTGACTGTAAAAGTACAGTCATAATAAAACAACAACATAACAACAACAGCAAGAATTTTATTTTTATCCTGCCCTATCTCCCCGAGGGGACTCACATTGTATTGCCCTTTCATCACAGTCAAAATTTGATGCCTGAGATAACTGTCTCAATCTTCCAAATAGTAGAGCTGCTTCTTGCCAAAACAAGTTTAAAAACCTTTTTGGGTTTGCAGAATTTGTTGATCACTATTCATTGTGCTCTGACAAGGATTTCTCTGCTGCATTCATTGCCTGCCAGTTCAAACAACGGCCATATCTCAGGAGTCTTGGACAGAGGCAATTGAATATGTAGTTGACATCTCACCTGAAACAACTAGGGAAAACAATGACCTTTGCTTTGACAGTGTAGTCAGGCATGTGAATCTGAAAAGCAGCGAGATTCTTGAGTCCTAAACTGAAAAAAGGATTTGTAGAGCACAGTGTGTGGGGAGCTAATCCCATGATGCATGACCAGAAATGATTAGTGTCTCACTTAAGGGTCACATTTTGATTTTATCACGTAATTCACTAATGGATCTATCAGAAGATGTTTTGCAATATCTTTTTTTTTTTTTAGTATAGCTCTTGGTACTCAAAGAAGAGCAAGTTGTTTCTATGAGCCCTTTATTCTAATTGTGTTCTGTGACCCTGTTTGGACATAAAACTAAACCATGTCTGTTACCCTCCAGATGTTTGGGTCCATTACTCATCAATCTTTCCTAGAAGAGGGAAGATGAGGGAGTTGTGATCCAAACACATTTGAAAGACCATACATTGCACCGATAGAGTGAGTCTTTCCTTCCACCATATTTATATGCCACTCCCATTGTTTCCCTATCATTGTAGGAGATTAGAGCTTCTACCTTGGCTTTGTACTAACTATAGTTCAATATATCACTCAGACTCTATTAATCGTAGTTTATTTTGACTATGGTTGATAATAAGAAGATTTATTTATTTATTTCGGGTATTTTTACCCCGCCCTTCTCAACCCCCCCGGGGGGGGGGGGACTCAGGGCGGCTACCAGCTGGCACATATTCAATGCCTACAATTAAACACAATAAAATACACAACAAAACAGCAATTATAAATAATTAAAACATTGAGTTAATACAATAAAATCTACTAGAAAAGAAGCTTGCCTGGTGGCCGTCCTCTCGCCGAGTTCTGTAATTAGTGAGTCCATTCAGCTTATCATAATCAGTTCCAAAGCTCTTGTCATCATTGTCCTTGTCAGTCTGCCAGATTACCCAAAGGCCTGGTCCCATATCCATGTTTTTAATTTCCTTCTAAAAGACAGGAGGGATGACGATGATCTAATTTCCCCAGGGAGTGAATTCCACAGGCAGGGGGCCACCACCGAGAAGGCCCTGTCCCTCATACCTGCTAGTCTCGTTTGTGACAAGGGCAGGACCAAGAGCAAGGCCTCTCCAGAAGATCTTAAATTCCTAGGTGGGACGTAGAAGGAGATACGTTTGGACAGGCACGCTGGGCCAGAGCTTTAGAGTAGATTTTGTTCCACTATTCATAGTTAAATTAACTCTTTGTATAGTGAACCATGTTTTGGCATTGCATTTGAACCAGCCTGTATTTAAATGTGTCACTGTTTGAATCCAGCATTAGAAGTGAGTCCAAAGGCCACTTTGGTGGATTTTTGGCATCATGGAGTATTGTGTCCCTCTCACTCTGAGCCTATTTTAACCACTTGGGTGATATTTTAGAGGGCGAAACTACCAGAAGTGCAGCATTTGTCATGATTTTTCACCTAATTTTGAAAAAAAAAATGGGCCTGGGGATTATATTGGGGAAGATGCAAAAATGGGAAGGATTTCTCACATTCAATTTTCATGGTCTACATTCTATGTGAAGCTTGAGCAGTACAGAGAAGTTTGATTATTGTGAATCTAATGAGCTATTTATTGCTTGGAGGAATGTTAGCGTGTATATTTCATCAGGAATTCTTCACATTTTTGAACTTGCAGTTCCTTGGGAGGACATGATCCCTTCTACCTTGCCTCCTGGCCTGAGGGTCATCGAAGAGCTGGTTTCACCAGAGGAGGAAAGACAACTTTTAGAAAGCATTGACTGGGGAAAGGATGAAGTAATTCCAAATGGTAAGTGAGGCATACTACAATGATGGGTCATGTTTGCCATCCAGCAGAAGTGAGATTCAGTTGATTAGGAGCCTGATATTGTAGTCTTTATTTATTTATTTGTTTGTTTGTTTGTTTATTTATTTATTTATTTATGACATTTCTATTCTGCCCTTCTCATCCCGCAGGGGACTCAGGGTGGATCACAGAACACATACACAGCAAACATTCAATGTCATTAAACAGTTAGGACAGACAACAGATAGAGTTATTATGTTGGCATTCCCCCCCCCCCCCAACTTTGGCATCCTGGAGGTTATGCTCAATTCTGGCCACAGGGGGGTGCTGTCGCTCCATCCTCTATGATGAAGAGCCTTGATCACAGACTTCCTCCTTCCTTTGATTATAGGTATCTTTCTGGTATTTCTTTTATGGTGCCGTAAAATACCTCCCTTCTTAAGCAGTGCCCAATTTCTCTACTCACAGTTCACAGCTGATTTTGAACTGCTTAGGTGGACAGTAAGCTGGGCTTAAGGTTGGGTGCTCACCCCGACCCAGGCTTCGAACTACCATCCTTTTGATTGGTAAGATACATTTCTGCTGGTGATTAACCAGCTGTGCTAAAGCCCAGCCCTACTATACTATTTATTTATTAATTTATTTATAGTATTTGTATACCTCTTTTCTCACACCGAGGGGGACTCAAAGCGGTTACATCAGCTTACAGTATACCTTGGTGGAGCCCCTGGTGGCGCAGTGGGTTAAACCCCTGAGCTGGCAGAACTGAAGACTGACAGGTCACAGGTTTGAATCCGGGGAGAGGCGGATGAGCTCCCTCTATCAGCTCCAGCTCCTTATGCAGGGACATGAGAGAAGCTTCCCACAAGGATGATAAAAACATCAAATCATCCAGGCATCCCCTGGGCAACGTCCTTGCAGACGGCCAATTCTCTCACACCAGAAGCAACTTGCAGTTTCTCAAGTTGCTCCTGACATGACAAAAAAAAGTATACCTGGGTTGATTTGTTCATGTGTGTGTCTGTGTGTGTGTGTATATATATATGCATATATGTGTGTATATATAAACATTGGTTTGTTCTTATTTGTTTTCCATTTAAAGCTCAGAAATCATTAAAACACAGAAGAGTAAAACATTTTGGATATGAATTCCGGTATGATAACAACAATGTTGATCGAGACAGACCATTACCTGGAGGTAGGTAGTCAAATGCCTTTTATTCAATTAGTGTTATCTTCACCAGTTTGGTAACTGTAGCTATGGTCTTCTGAATGCTTATTTAGATGTCCCATTCAGATTAGTGCAATTTACTTTTGCTTAAGTGTGAAAATAGAATTACATGTTCCCATCAACTGTAAGAGTGCAAACATGTAATTTGTTAAGGTCAAAATAATTTATAGTTGCTTTGAAATAAATAAAAAAGATCACTCAATAGTGAATCCTGTGGATTTAAAAATAATTTAATTCCAAATATTGTAAGTAACTATAAGAGGACAATCAATGGGTGGTTGAGGGCTTAGAATGACTCCCCAAGAGGTAAGGTTAAAATTTGACCCTTTTAATTTAGAAAAAAAAATGAAAGTTAACTGACTGTCATTATACAGCTGTTTAAAGTTGTGCCATGGTATAGAGAAAGTGACATATATAAAGGTAAATGATATTCGTTTAAACCAAATCATTATTTCCAGCTGGAATAGGCTGAGTGAATCAATTACTGAATGATAAGCAAACATGTATAGATCCCATTGATTTAATAGGTCTACTCTGCTTTTGACTTGAAATTCGATTGAGGTTTGTGCTGTAATGGTTTTCTAGTGTGGTGTCCTAATCAATCTTAAGATTTTAAAGTGTGTTGTCCTACTGTTAATGCTTATGTTATGGTTTTACTGTTTTTGTTTATTGATTTTAATTGCTTGTATTGTTGTATTATGGGCTCGGCCTCATGTAAGCCACACCGAGTCCCTTGGGGAGATGGTAGCGGGGTATAAATAAAGATTATTATTATTATTATTATTATTATTATTATTATTGTTATTGTTATTATTATGAAGATACTGGTTTTCAGGTTCCATTCTCTATTACAGAGAAATTTGGAGTGGGATGGAATATGAGAAAAAATTCTCACTTACCTCTTTTGCTTGAATTACTAGGTCTCCCAGATATCTGTAACACCCTTCTTGCAAAATGGCTGAAGATGGGCTACATTAAAGAGAGTCCCGATCAACTGACTGTAAATCAGTATGAGCCTGGACAGGGTATGTATAGCCTTAATGTAACTGAGCCAGAATGTAAAACTATCTTAAGAGAGGAGTTTTGGTCAATTTAGATTTGTAACAGGATTTAGGGGAGTTGATAGTTATTTACCTATAAATAACATGTCTCTAGGTGATATCCCGTTGATTCTGAAATTGCATTCTAACACCTTGTTAGGAAAATAGGAAACTATACTAAACACAGTTAGATTACAGAGTCCACATAGATGAGTATTGTTTATACTGATTGAAAATAGCTTTGTCAAGTCTGGCATGTTTCCTGTCCCTTACTTGTGATGCAAGGCATTCTTTATTTTAAATGTGTGCTCTATTATTGAGATATAGTTCATTGTCAAAGGATTTTATGGCTGGAATCACTAGGTTGCTGTGAGTTTTCCGGGCTGTATGGCCATGTTCCAGAAGCATTCTCTCCTGATGTTTTGTCCACATCTATGGCAGGCATCCTCAGAGGTTGTGAGGTCTGTTGGAAACTAAGCAAGTGGGGTTTATAGATCTGTGGAATGTCCAGGGTAGGAGAAAGAACTCTTGTCTGCTTGAAGCAAATGTGAAAGTTGCAATTGACCACCTTGATTACTATTGAATAGCTTTGCAGCTTCAAAGCCTGTCTGCTTCCTGCCTGGGGGAATCCTTTGTAGAGAGGTGTCAACTGGCCATGATTGTTTCCTGTCTGGAATTCCCTTGTTTTCTGAGTGATGTTTTTTATTTACTGTCCTGATTTGAGAGTTTTTAAATACTGGTAGATGGATTTTGTTCATTTTCCCAGTTTCATCCTTTTTGTTGAAATTGTCCACATGCTTGTAGATTTCAATGGCTTCACTGTGTAGCCTGACATGGTAGTTGTTATAGTGGTCCAGCATTTCTGTGTTCTCCAATAATATGCCATGTCCAGGTTGGTTCATCAGGTGCTCTGCTATGGCTGACTTCTCTGATTGAATTAGTCTGCAGTGCCTTTCATGTTGCCTGATTTGTGTTTGGGCATTGCTGCATTTGGTGGTCCCTATTTAGATTTGTTAACAGCTGTGTGGTATACAGCAGACTCCTGAAGAGGTGAAAGGATCTCATTTGTTGAATTTTCTTAGTGGGTCTGTAGATAGTTTGTAGGTTGTGTTTCTTCATCATTCTCCTCATTACCACCCTGGACATTTCACAGATATATAAACCTACCTGTCTGGTTTCTAACAGATCTCATAACCTCTGAGGATGCCTGTGATAGATTTTGGCGAAATGTTAGGAGAGAATGTTTCTGAAACATGGCCATACAGCCCAGAAAACTCATAGCAACCCAGAGCTATAGTTTGTTTCCTTCCTTGCCCTATACAATGTTTAGTCCAGGGCTGGAAAACATGCGCCCATCTCCCATCACCTTCAGCCATCATATCCATTGATGTGAGGAATGCTCGGGGTTGCATTCCAGTAACATCTGGAGGACTGCATGGTTCCTATAACTTCTTTAGATCACAGTGAGGTGTGAGAAGATTTTTTTTTGAAAAAGGAAGAAGATTCAGCATTTTGGGTGAAAAGTGGATGCCCACTACAAAACTAAAATGTAAATTCATATCTGCATATTGCTGGGCTGCTGCTTCCAAAAATTATGACCAATATTGGGGACCATTGGTGTTGCAGTCCTACTGGATGGCTGTGTATTTCTCATCCTAAATCTTGCAAGTTTTGTTCACTTGTAAGCAATTTCTGAGTTCATTGAGTAAATTTTGAGTTAGAAAAAATGGCACATGTTTCTGTGTATATATACAAATATAGACTGATACTGAATTGAAGTTTGAAAACACATTTCAGTTGGCATTCTTTACTAGATGTACCATTTTGCTTTCTGTTGCAGGAATCCCTCCTCACATTGATACACATTCTGCTTTTGAGGATGAAATAGTCTCTCTAAGTTTAGGAGCTGGGGTAATGTATTTTTTTTCTTTTTCTCTCCCTCAATTGCTTAGAGTTGCTTCAAACTGTGGGCTCTGCAAAAAAAATCTGGGATGTTCAATGTGGTTGTATTGACCTTTTAATTGGTAGAGATAACTGCATTGTATTGATTCCTAACTTGGGTACCCGGCGGTGCCCAGGTTATTTGAAAAAGGCATTGTTTGTTTTGGGGTATAAGGTAATTTCATGTAGTTAATTAGTAACACTATTTATTAGGAAAAAGCAAGTCTTTGATTTCATTTTTATTAATGCTCCTATTTGAAAATACATAATGATGTGGGTGAACTACAATTCCCAGAATCATGGGTTAATCCTCCTCAAACCAGGCCTGTATGCACAGTTGGCCATGTTGGGTGTGTGTGCCAAGTTTGGTCCAGATCTATTATCAGCTGGGTTCAGTGCTCTCTGGATAAGGGTGAACTTCAACTCCTATAAACTTCAACTCCTATAAAGGTCAATTCTCCCAAACCTGGTCATGGGGTTGTTGAAGGCTTTCATGGCATGGGGTTGTTGAAGACTTTCATGGCTTTCATGGGTTGTTGTAGGTTTTTCGGGCTATATGGCCATGTTCTAGAAGCATTCTCTCCTGACGTTTCACCTGCATCTATGGCAAGCATCCTCAGAGAGAATGTCAGGAGAGAATGCTTCTAGAACATAGCCATATAGCTTGAAAAACGTACAACAACCCACTGGTCATGGGGGTTCTGCATGCCAAATGTGGCATGGGGGGAGGGGTTGAATGCAGGGTGAACTACAACTTCCATCCTGTTGAGTCAGTCCCCCAAACCCCTCCAGTCTGTTCAGTTGTTGAGCAATTCCTCTGTGTTTCCTGTGTGTCATAGGTAAGGGTTAGGGGACAGGCACTGGCCGAGGATGTGCAAATTCCACACAAGGAACCCTGTGATGTCTGCCAGTGGTGGAGGAGACACATCAAATCTAGGATGAAATCCTCCCCGAACGAAAGCATTCCTTGGGTGATGAGCCGTAGTGTTTGGGGAGAACATTGGCAGGATTTAGGCTACATGTTCACAGCACTCTAACCTGCAATTTCAGTTGAGGGAGTGCCTTTGGAGGCTTCTCAGCACTTGGAACTATAGCCCAATCGTGGGAGGCTGTCCTTGTAAATGGACACCTCTGCCACATACACACATGTACATTTTTCACTTTTATTATGTGTATAGATGGCCAAATGAGGCTAAACATGTTTGTAGTACACTTTTATTTCATGGCCATTTTGAGATGGTGGACCAGGACCTCTCCTGGTGCTCCAGGATAACAGAATCAATATGATAAGCTCTCATCATTCATAATTTAAGACATTCCCTGACAGCTCAGAAAATAAACAATAAAATAAAATAAGTTGCCAAAAAGAAGGAAGAAAGGCTTTGGCTTCTTTTTGCCCTGGAGCGATCCCAACCCCACCTGTTGAATTTTTAATCCAAGCTGAGAATTTATAAAAAGCAGTCCTATTGCCAGTTGAATTTCTGCAGGGAGCTGTGCTTAAAAAGCCTTTGTAAATAATAAAAAAAGTTGGTTTTATACAGTTGCTTTATTTTTTAAAGGGTACAGACATTGAAGTTTTCTTTTCATTTCCTACATCTTTGTGACTCCTGAGCCAGAAACCTTTTTATCTAAAAATGCTTTTTTATCTTCTGTCATTGATTATTTTGAAGGCTGACACCAATGACGGAAAGAGAAAGGAAGAGGGAGACAGAAAGCCTGTGCATTTCTAAGATGATGTAGTCATCACAGTGCAGGCCATTAAAAAAAACTAATTGCTCTAAATTAAAAAGAGAAAACCTTTGACTCTGTGAGCTAAATCTGGTTTCTGGATATTATCTCTGTCTCCTCTTCAGAGTAATCTCAGCTTTTTATCTCTGAACAATTAGAGATAACAATGAGGATGACTTGGCTCCTGCTTGGAAGAAAGCAAGGTCTCATCACACAGCGTTGTAACCGGGGAAGATTTGTGATGGGTGAAGCCACCACTGAATCTTACAGCTTCAATACAAGAGTAGGCAACTTGAGAAAAACAGAGGGCAGATTTTCTGCAGCTAGGACCATAAAGCCATCCCTGCAGAGACTGGCAGAAATGTCCCCTACATCAATAAGAAAATGAACCAGTAGTGGGTGCTGTGAGTTTTCCGTGCTGTATGGCCATGTTCCAGAAACACTCTCTCCTGACGTTTTGCCCACTTCTATGGCAGGAATCCTCAGAGGTTGTGAGCTCTGTTGGAAACTAGGCAAGTGAGGTTTATATATCTGTGGAATGTCTAGCGTGGGAGAAAAAACTCTTGTCTGTTTGAGGCAAATGCGAATGTTGCGAGGCCTTTCTTACTTGCCCAAAGAGGCCTGGCTGAGTGGGTGAGTGGCCAAGGCACGCTTCCTCTTCCTCTCGCTCCGGTGCACCTTTGGACTGAGGCAGAGAAGCAGCATTTAGGGGGGAAGACAAAGGTGCGGCCCTGAGGCCCACCCCCACCTCCACGCAATCCCACCTCCTTCAGAGCAGAGCGAGCAGCACCAAAGAGAAGAAAGATAACAATAAACTATACTCACAAAATGAAAGCTATGGTAAATGCACATCTCAATTCCAATGCAATTAAATTAAAATGAAACTAAATCAAAATCTATGAAAATTCAATGTAGCAACGCATTCGGAAAGATTGCAATAGAACCGTAAAATATGTAGTATGGCGTGTGCTGCTTTGAAGTCCAGCAGATGGTGCTGTTTTTGAAAAAAAAAAGCATATTTTTAGCTGTCACAAGTGTGACATCTATATAATAGTAGGTATGTGGAAACATAAAAACATGCACCTATTCAAATGCTACAAAATTGCAAAGCAGTCGGTGAAGTATTTTGGAAGATTTAAGGTTTTGAACAAACAGAAATTGACATTTTTATTTATATAGATTATATTCGATTATACTCCGCTTTGTCTCTCCTGAAGGGGACTCAAAGTGGCTAGCTGGTTACCTGGTGAGGTAAAGGGCACTCTTGTTGAATTGGAGAGTGTTGGGGGATTAAAAAAAATCAGCGGGGTCTGCACTTTGTCCATCGCTGCTTTAATGAAGGGGAAGGCATGGGATGGGCAGAACTCATATTAGATATTAGACCTTGAGAACTACATGGAAGACCTAGCTGGTGTTTGACTATAGGGTGAGAGACTTTGGGGGTTTTGATTGACCTCTAGAAGGGGTGGATTCTGCCTATCCTTCTTCAAAAAGGCTTCCACTTAGATTTTATATGTATTTGGTAGTTAAATAGAAATAAATGCGATGTTTTTTGACACTTAGAGCACACCTGTGGAATATGATTCACATCAATAAAATGCTGTGGAACTCCTATTCAATCCATTTATTTAGGGCCAAAAGTAATGGAATACTAATTCCCTGTTTACTCATCTCTCATAATAGTCAGTTATCACAATGGTAGCCATTGCATTTGTTCATGTACTTATTCCTAATGTGTTCTGTTATGTGCTTTTATATTTGTGCCATAATAGTAAACAACTAACACAAACTGTTAGTTTGATTGTGAAGCATCTGGTAAATTTAAAAGCTGTGTAAATGATTCAGGTGAATAGAAGGAATGTATTATCTTATGAACTGGAAGTAGGAAGCTTCCTGTACATATTAATAGATGTTGTTATCTGCTTTTACTGCTCTTGTTTCTGTTTTTGCAACAGGAAATTAAATATTCACTCTCCACAATTTGCAATGTCCGTTGTTTAGAAATCATGCCAATCTGTGTACAGGAATGTCGCAGTGATTGTATTTTAAACATTGGTTTTGCTCAATTCAGTATGAGATCTGCATGCAGAAACGTAGCCAATGCAAATGAGTATTCAATGCTTATCTGCTTTAGCTCTTCTCGAAATAGTCTTTTTTCTCACAAGTCTTTTTTTTTATTTTGCTCATCCTTTCTTGTTCACTGAAAAAAATCCTGACTTACATTAAATCATGCTCTTTATCTGATTTCATAATAAAGAAGAGAAAACTATGAAAGCTGTAAAGTATGAAAGTTGTAAAACCAAGACAAGTTTTATAGTTATGGAGGTCATACTGTAATGGGTTTTCTGTTTTCTGTTTTAGTGCGATCCTGTTTTAATCTATGCCTATAAATTCATGTTTTATGTGGTTTTAATTCTGTAGAGGTTAATATTATTTTAATCTTCGCTTTTTATAGTTTAGCTGTATGTGGTTTTACTTGCACCCCTTTTAATACTGTAAACCACCTTGTGTCCCATTCGTGGGAAGATAGATAGATTTCTAAAGGGGTGTCCTGGGCTTCTTGTGTTACGGGAACTTTATGACGTTATCTTGATATTATTCCTAAATTGTGTAACCTGCTAATTAAGATTTGAGATCCTGGTTCCTAATGTGAATATAATGCCTTCAGTTCTCTTTCAGCAGTCGTGCCTGGATTCTCTGTAGTTCAGGTTTTCAGTGTGCTCTTCAGCCATGAAGGCAAATGAGCACTTCAGAAGTTTATTGCAGTTGTCACATAACCGAGGCTGACAAGTATTATTATTCTCTTGAAACTGATAGAAAAGTCAAGAGAGACTAAATAGCTCTCAAGAAGCTTGAAGGAAGGCAGAGTATGACACCAAGGATTGTCTAGCCCAGTTGTTCTCAACCTTCTTAATGTCACGACCCCTTAATACAGTTCCACATGTTGTGGTGACCCCCAACCATAAAAATATTTTTGTTGCTACTTTATAACTGTAATTTTGCAACTGTTATGAATCATAATGTAAATATCTGATAAGCAGGATGAATTTTCATTCACTGGATCAAATTTGGCACAAATATCCAATATGCCTAAATGTGAACACTCGTAGTGTTGGGGGGGGGGGGGATTTATTTTGTCATTTGGTAGTTGTAGTTACTGGGATTTATAGTTAACCTACAATCAAAGAACCTTCTGAACTCCACCAACAATGGAATTGAACTAAACTTGGCACACGGAATTC